CCTGGAACTCACTTGGTAGTCCAGGCTGGCCTCGAACTCACAGAGATCCGCCTGGCTCTGCCTCCCGAGTGCTGGGATTAAAGGCATGCGCCACCACTGCCCGGCCATTTGCAAGTTCCTATGTGCCTGTTTTATGGTCAGCACAATACTAAGTACACAGAGACAGAGCTATTGTAAGACTTTTCAGAAGAACATAAACGCAGTCCTGAGCTTTCCACTCGGAAACAACCCGGTATACTGTTACTTGCAAAATAATGTTTTGACACATCGATAAAAATATTTTTGTTTGCAGATTATTTATAATAAATTGTTAGTCTTATTTGTTTGTATGAGTTTTTTTTTTAGTTTGACTTTTTAAAGGCCTTAGGTATTATAATATTGCAAAAATAAATGTACAGGAAATGAAACCTTCATTCAGGAATCTCGTTTCTAGCTCTGACCCACATGACTAACTATTTGACCTCAAGCCAGTAGGTGCTCTTTCTAGGCCTTGTCTGTCTCTTTCTGTTCCTCTGTTGTGTAGCAGGATGAGGCTGGATGGTCTCCAACTTCCCATTAGTGTTCCCTGCCTGTGAACAACTCTTTGCTTCTTGAAACAGGGTCTCACATAGCCCAAGCCTTGAGTGCTCCATGTGGCCAAGGGTGACCTTGAACTCCTGATCCTCCTGCCTCCGTCTCCCAAGTGCTAGTATGAACCACCACACCTTGCTTTGGACACAACCTTCTTTTTGTATTTTTATGTGTGGGTTTGTAGAGGCCAGAAGGGGGTCACATTGGATCCCTTGGAGCTGGAGTCACAGGGAGTTGTGATCTCCCTGATATGGATGAACTCTCATTCTCTGGGAGAGCAGCAAGTGCTTTGAACCACCGAGTCATCCCTCTGGCCCCTGTACACGAGACTTAGCACTCTGAAATGGTGTCGTGTGTTCCTCTGCTCTGTTGGCTTAGTAGATTCCAAGTAATCCTGCATCTCGGTGTCGTCAACTCTACCACGAGGTCTCCAAGCCTCCTTCGCTACCACAGGGTCTCCAGGTCGCTGCCTCCATCACCACAAGGTCTCCAAGCCTTCTCCCTCATCACCATGCTGTCTCCAAGTCATCCTTTATCACCCACCAAGAAGTCTGTATCTGGTGGTGGCCTTGGGTCTCTCGAGACCCCGTATGCTTTCCTGTCCACCTTCCCTTTCCTTATGCGTTAAAATCACACTTACCAATTTGTGGGAGCAAAAGCATCAGAGTGTTAGAAGGTACCAGCATCTCCCTCTTTTTGTTTGTGAATTTTACCATGGATGACTTGTGTCTTTTCAGTTGTAGCCTGTGGAATAAGGAACCGGAAATTAATGTTAGGAAGGTTTTCTTTCTGTTATTTTATGCTATGTATAGTTTATTTGAATGGTTCCCAAAGGCAAGGAAATCACTAAATAATCTTTCTCTGTTAGTGGCCAGACACAATTGACACTATTAATTGTTCTTGAACACAAAATAACTGTTTTTCAGGTGGTGTAATTGCAAGAAAAGCTTGACCATGAAAATCATGTAAATAGATCCCCATCTCCCAGCCTACCGCCATACCCTCGGGACTCAGCCTCATGATATGGACTCGGGGTCCCCTGGTTCGTTCTTGTCACCCTGCTCAGTCATTCCTCTTGGCTCATGTCCATTCCTTTGTGACTTCCCTTTGACCTGTAGAACTGCTCAACCAGGGACCCCAGAGAGCTGCCACACTCATCTCTCAGGATCAGGAAAGTTACTAGTTTCTTCCATTCTGTTCTCTCTAGGGTACTATCAGTCCATCCCATCGGTAAACTCTAGCTCTTTCCTCCCAGCCTATCTACATTCTCTCTGGGCTTGATGCCATTTGTGATTGGACTCGGGGTACCCCTAGTTCTGCCTCTACTGCCCTTTGTGGAGCTGGATCCCAAGTCCTACTTAAGAGACCTCAGAGTCAGTGTTCTTCCCCCACCTGCCAGCCTGTGTCCCCACCTCACTCACTCCACAGGTTGGGGACTTTGTGGAATCTGAACCCAGAGTTCCAAACAAAGCCTCTGATCTGAGCCCATTCCAAGCCTGAACTCTAAAAAACCCAGAGTGACCCCAAGACTGAAAAGCAAGCATTATTCTTCGGATCCACAAACTATCGGATTGGGGTAACACCCATCCAACAAAGGAGAGACCAGATAGTCATACAAGATATAAACACCACGAACATTGTAACTCCAAATGCCTAAATCCTTTCAAAAAATACAAACATGAACAACCAAAACAATCTGATTCCTCCCAAAGCTAGTACCCCTTTTGTAACATACCCTGCTCAAAGCAAATCATCCGAAGTGCAAGCCAAGAACTCTTAAGAGAGGGCTGGAGAGACGGCTCAGAGGTTAAGAGCACTGGCTGCTCTTCCAGAGGTCCTGAGTTCAATTCCCAGCAACCACACGGTGGCTCACAACCATCCGCAGTGAGATCTGGCGCCCTCTTCTGGCATGCAGGCAGACATACAGACAGAATACCATATAATCAATAAATGAATCTTTAAAAAAAAAAAAAAGAAAGAAAGAACTCTAAGAGAGCAACTATGAAAATGTTCAAGGACCTTAAAGAGGGTATGAGTAAGTGTCTCAATAAAGACTGAAAACAGAAACACAGGTGAATAAAGTAAAGCAGTTCAGGATATGAAAGTAGAACTTAACAAAGAAATAGAATTGTTGCTAAAGCCAAACTGAAATAGACCCGGGAATGAGAAACCAGCCCCTACACCGAGAAAGCTCCTGGTCTCTGTGGCATAGGAGAGGAATTCTTTTGACTATTTAAGTTGAAATTTCCTCTTCAGCATCCGTAGGAGTGTGGTTTAATGGACAGGCAGGCGTTTCTATTGCTGATTGCCACGAAGGATGATGCTCTCATCGATGCCATCCACACAAGAACGACAAGGGTGGACAGACAGCTTTGCAGCCACGTGACAGTCAGCTTTAGGTCACTGCAACAAGCACCTGAGATAACCAGCTTAAGCTGATTTCGTCTACCGTTCCTAGGCTCCAGCCTACGTCAGGCAGCTCCGTTGTGCAGGCCTCTCTGGTGGAGGTGCTGGGAGAACACAGGGCAGAACCACATCCGCTCCCCTCACCATGAGCTGAGGGAGCAAGAGGAATCTGCAGAGTGTGCAGGGGGCTGCTGTCCCACAATCCCATGCAGGGACCTGACCGAGAGACCTTCCACCAGGCTGTATCTCTTGGTTTCTCTACCTCTCAAGAGTGCCAGCCTGGGCTCAAGTCTTTGTTAGTTTGAGATTGT